GATAAAGTGCACTTCATCCTCTATGACTTGGCACTTGATGCATTTTCTGTCCTCAATATTTGTTTTTGGTCGTGTATGTCTACCTGTTTCTATATGTAATTTGTGGCTGCTCAGTCTGAATTTGCTTAGAATTCTGATTGCCTGTCTATCATTAAGCTGATCTATGTAGACTTCTTGTTTTATATCTTTTTTGAAAAGCTGATATGTTCTGAGTTTTGAATCAGCCCTTTGCATGTCCTTCTTCCAGATATCAAGATAGTGACTTGCAGAGATTTTTTGAAAGTTTAGCGTTGTGACATCTTGGTTAATACTGTATTCCTTATTAATTTTTGTTAGTCTTGACAGCCAATGATCACCCAAGTGTGATTCTGCATTTCAATCAATCCATTGTATGCAATATTGTCTTCCTTCAATGAAATCAAGTGTTTGAAATATGTATTATAGTGTAAATAATAGACAAGTGGCAGTCTACTAGAATCCATTCTAACTGCTATGTTGCTTGTGTTTTTGCTAAGATTCAAAACATGTCTACAAAATTTGAGGTGAAATTTTTCAGTACATGTTGTATCCCATTTTTTAATATATATATATTGTTAGTGTAGTGTGCTAACCCTCAGCAATGATTTTTTTTTGGGGGGATATTTATTCATTCTTTTCAGTTAGCTTAAATTAATTCATAATACATACAAATATGTTGTAATACATGTATTGCATTATTAATATGTCATAACATCTCAACACATAATCAGTATATTGACAAATTAATATTAACCAACTGGAACTCACTATGAAAGCTTGTATATTTTTCTTCTGTAGGTCATTTTTTAACATGGAGGTTAGTATCTATGATGTTCGATCCGTGGCATTTGATAACATCTCGTGCCCAGAACTACTGTGACTTGGGCACCATCTTGGTTGAAAACTATGCATTTTCGAGATCTGGAATGTGCCATATTTCCCCGAATCTACATAGTTTGATGAAACCTTCGTTGAAACCTATTGTTCAGTGGGGCATTTTTGGAGTTGGAAATTCCTCACATACTCATGTTATCGACGTTATGGATCAGCATAAGAGTATTGTGCTTGCACGTAGACATGTACAGTTTGTGAATGTTTCCAGGGAAACGCGTCTTCCAACCAGATTACCTGAATGGTTTATTGAAAAATACCGCCCAAAGTTGCAGGGCAAAGCTCCCGAATTGATGCAACATATCACGCTGAAGCCAGAGCAAAGGTTTGTGTTCGAGATTGAGATACAAAAAGAAGACATTGATCATTATGGACATACAAACAATTCCATATATGGAAAGTATATGGAGGAATGCGCTTGCCTTGCCATCAACAGTGGTTTCTATTCATCAATCAAAGGCAACATTCACAACTATATAATTACCAAGATGGGTAACCTTTTTATTCATGAGGCAAAGCTTGGTGATTTGTTGACCATTGAATCCTGGGAAGAAGATTGTTCTGGGATACTGAATTTTATAATGCATAAGCAAGGAAAGGATATCTTTCATGGCAAGCTGCATTGTGAGTCACTGTAATTTGTTTAATTATTAAACAAAATCCTGCCAGTATTAATTAAGCAGTAAATTTCTAGTCAATTAGGAAACATGTGAATTTGTGACGAGGCTCGTATACGAACATATTGTAATGTTAGAATATGAATTCAAGAGTGGGGGTAAAATAGATTCGCCATCAATATATGCATGCTCAGGGCTTGTGTCATTGTCGATCTACAAAAATAATTTGAGTTTAATAATGTATTTAGCCGGCGATTATTGAACTGGTGGATTCCACTCAGGCTGTCTACATAGAGTATAATTGAACTTGATCACTGGTACTCGCGCTTCTGGCTTTTAACAAGTTAATTTTGTGTGAAAATAATAATTCTTTTGTGTGATTGATTTTTTGAACTGATATATAATCACTTGCTTTAAAGAAAAAAAGGTCAATAGTTAACCTATATCATGTATCACATATGTAGGCCATCATTCCCCATTGTTTGCTGTCTCTTATCACCTAAACAAATGTTGTTATATCATATAACAGCTAAACATTCAATGTACTATCTGGATACCTTGTCATCACCAAATTAAACTGTACCAATCAAGAACAGCACAATTATTTGAGATTTACGGTGAGAAATGAAAACAGAAATAAGCAGTCATTGTATACAATCAAAAAAAAACATATTTATATCACAATGAACTCAAAAAAAATACAGAACTGATTTAAGCAATACTAGTCCCGTCATACAATGAGATCATCAAATCCCATGATGCACTTCAATGTTACTGAAATCTAAGGCAATGTCATCACTTTATAAATAATTGACCATAGTATATTTGAACAGCAGAGTCACTACTGGATTTGAACAGCAGAGTCACTACTGGATTTGAACAGCAGAGTCACTACTGGATTTGAACAGTCGAGTCACTACTGGATTTGAACAGTCGAGTCACTACTGGATTTGAACAGTCGAGTCACTAAAGGATTTGAACAGCAGAGTCACTACTGGATTTAAACAGCCGAGTAACTACTGGATTTAAACAGCCGAGTCACTACTGGATTTGAACAGTCGAGTCACTACGGGATTTGAACAGCAGAGTCACTACTGGATTTGAACAGTCGAGTCACTACTGGATTTGAACAGTCGAATCACTACTGGATTTGAACAGTCGAGTCACTAAAGGATTTGAACAGCAGAGTCACTACTGGATTTAAACAGCCGAGTAACTACTGGATTTAAACAGCCGAGTCACTACTGGATTTGAACAGTCGAGTCACTACGGGATTTGAACAGCAGAGTCACTACCTTGATTTGAACAGTCGAGTCACTAGGGGATTTGAACAGTTGAGTCACTACTGGATTTGAACAGTTGAGTCACTACTGGATTTGAACAGCCGAGTCACTACTGGATTTGAACAGTCGAGCCACTACTGGATTTGAACAGTCGAGTCACTACTGGATTTGAACAGTCGAGTCACTACTGGATTTGAACAGTCGAGTCACTACTGGATTTAAACAGCCGAGTCACTACCGGATTTGAACAGTCGAGTCACTACTGGATTTGAACAGCAGAGTCACTACTGGATTTGAACAGCAGAGTCACTACTGGATTTGAACAGCTGAGTCACTACGGGATTTGAACAGTCGAGTCACTAAAGGATTTGAACAGCAGAGTCACTACTGGATTTAAACAGCCGAGTCACTACTGGATTTAAACAGTCGAGTCACTACTGGATTTGAACAGCAGAGTCACTACTGGATTTGAACAGTCGAGTCACTACGGGATTTGAACAGTCGAGTCACTACGGCATTTGAACAGTCGAGTCACTACTGGATTTGAACAGTCGAGTCACTACGGCATTTGAACAGTCGAGTCACTACTGGATTTGAACAGTCGAGTCACTACTGGATTTAAACAGCCGAGTCACTACCGGATTTGAACAGTTGAGTCACTACTGGATTTGAACAGCAGAGTCACTACTGGATTTGAACAGCAGAGTCACTACTGGATTTGAACAGCCGAGTCACTACGGGATTTGAACAGTCGAGTCACTAAAGGATTTGAACAGCAGAGTCACTACTGGATTTAAACAGCCGAGTTACTACTGGATTTGAACAGTCGAGTCACTACTGGATTTGAACAGTCGAGTCACTACGGGATTTGAACAGTCGAGTCACTACTGGATTTGAACAGTCGAGTCACTACTGGATTTGAACAGTCGAGTCACTACGGCATTTGAACAGTCGAGTCACTACTGGATTTGAACAGTCGAGTCACTACGGGATTTGAACAGTTGAGTCACTATCAGATTTGAACAGCAGAGTCACTACTGGAATTTGAACAGCGAGTCACTACTGGATTTGAACAGCGAGTCACTACTGGATTTGAACAGCAGAGTCACTACTGGATTTG